CCCCAAAACCCCAAAACCCCAAAACCCCAAAACCCCGATTTTTTCCTCATAAATTGCAAAAATTTAAAATTTAAATTTTAAACTACCAAAAATGCAAAAAGAGTATCATCTTCAATCAAGCTCAGATTCAAAGACTTCTTGTGAACATTCTTCTAAAGTTTCTTCTTCTTCCAAAGCAAGTCTATCAGCATCTAAAACAAAACCTGAGCCTGTAGATACTCAAGAGAACAAAGAAAATATCATGCCACCAAATGGTTCCTTCAGAAAATCTTTCTTAAGCGATATCAGTGAAAAATAGCGAAAATAACAGTCAAATCTCCAAAACCACGCCTCCCCCTTACACCCCCTCTACCCCTCCCTTCACTCCCCACTACAACCCTTCCATCTCTCCCAATCCAGCCGCTCACAAGAAATCTCCTCAAAAATACAGAGTACTCAATCTCTGCCAGAATAGACCAAAATCTCAAAATACTATCCAGATTCAAACTTCAGCGCATCTTATAAATCCTTCACATCAGCCCATGCAGCCCAATACAAAAGCTGACAGGTAAGTCATCTATAAGCCCTCCTAAGTTTATTTTAGTCAAAAGAATATGGCAGGGACCATACAGCTAGAAAACACAACCGAAGAACAGTGAAGGAATTTTAAGGGATCACAGAAGGAAAACGACATGAATGATAGATATCTTAGAACAAGGAAAAGTCATGAAGAGTCTCGTATCGAAGATGAGAGTAATGAGAGAAGCTGACGTAGCGGAAGAAGTGCACAAGAAATGATGCATACTCCTGAAAAGGAATTGAAAAGTGATAAGATATCGAAACATAAGAGAAAGTTGAATTTTGATATTCAATCAGAAAATTTAGAACGAGCAGAAAAGCAGTGTAATGAGGAAAACAAAAATGAGTCTGATGTTCATGATTCATCATGTAACTCTTTCTCAGTATCAAGAGTGACTGATGATAATAAATCAGATTCTGATGAGGAATATAACATCAATAAAACTTTGACAATCTCCCCACCTACTCTAAAAGACTATAGTAAAGGGTCTGAGCTTGAAAGAATGCAGAAAGAGCTTGGGATTGAAAGTAGTTCTCTCATAGACTATTCTTCCATAAATGAGAATGATCTTGACGAAAATAACAATCTTGATATCCAAGAAAAATACCAACAAATCTCTAACGAATCTCTTGAGGAAGAAGAGATTGAGGAAGGAGGTATGCTGTAAATTTATCTATAGATTCCAAACATCATAATCTGAAAAACTACTATCTTAAAAATAGCTATTACCTCTCTGGAATAACAGAACAAAGTGTGGAGGAGTCCGAATATTTCACTTCCTATGATAACTCTAATGCCCAATGAGAGAGAGAAAAGGCATCAAAGAGGTTGCTAATCTCCAAATACAGCTGCTCTGATGATGACCAAAAGGATTCAGTGGTCTTCCTATATAACAGACTTCAAAATGAGCTTGATGAAGACGCATATAATTCGGATGGAAATGAATATCCCTTACCTCTACATTCCTTGGAACGAAGTGAAGACACTACTCTAAGGGAAAATGCCCAGCAGCAGAGATATACTCAAAACCGTCCTTTTGATATTGACCTCACAGATACTAATTTAGCCAGCAAAAGGTCGATTCTAGAGTCTTCAGAGAAGAGCATGTTGCGATATAAGAACTTCCGACAAGGAAGCAATGGAATTTTAACAATAGATGAACTCTGAGATGACTCTAGAAGTACTCCCAAAAAAGAGGAGCCAGCTAAAAATCAGAATGAAAGTTCAAACCTCACTTTTAACACTGTTTCTATTCGTAAATCAGACATAGATGCAGGGGTATAGTTTTAGCATTACATTTAGAGCATAAAGAACAGAGAGTTTCTCGATTACTCGTCTATAAGGAAATTAGAGGAATCAGGATCAACAATGAGAAAGGACAGCTTCATCCCTGAATTATATGAGAGCTTGCCAGCAAGACAAGAAGTTGAAAATACATCAAAAATTTACTCCCGGTCCAAAAATGAGAGTAAAAGGAAATATCAAGAGGATCATGAGTTTTCTAAATTTTCTGATGAGCAAAGAAGCACACTTCCTTTACATTCAGATTCCTTCAAGAAGCATAGCTATCATGAGAATTTATCTGACCCTAGGGATGGAAATAACAAAGATATCACAAGTACAGAGAAGAGGAACCAAAATAGTAATTTTAGAGTTAACTCTCCTCACTTTCCTGATGAAATTAGAAAATCATCAACGAACCCATTTGTGATCTCAGATTCTGAAGCTGCATCATTGAAATATGACTCTACTCCTTCCAGAGAGTCTTGTCAGACTCCTTGTGAGGACTTTAAAATGATTATTTTGGAATACATTCATGAACACGGGAAGAAGAATGCCTCGATAGTACTAAATGAAATTCTTCAAAATTTATCAGGCCATCAAACATCAACTATCAAAGATCATAACTTAGGGCATTCCTTTGACTTGAGACAAATGAAATCAGAGAATGAGAACCTCTCAGCTCAACTAGCACTCTCTCAAAAAGAGAACAAAACTCTAAAGGAGAAATATAATTTCTATTGTGAAAGAGCAGATCAATTGGATAAAGTCCTCAGAGATCAAGAAAGCAAGTTGCTTCATTTTACTATTGAGCTTGAAAACGCAACTTTGATGGAAGACCAGCTCAAGAAAGAAATAGACACTCTTAAAAGCCAGAGGGAAGAAATTGAAAAGCATTATAAAGAACTTAAGCTCTCCAAAGGCAAAGAAGCCATCCAGATCCGCCAGCTCAAATCCGACATCGAGTCCAAGAAGAGGGAAATTATTGAGGCATCTGATCTTATTGAAAGAGCAACCTCCGAGCTCACAGAAATAAAGAAAGAGAATTCTGCTCTGCAAGCATCCACACAGAAACTTGAAAAGGAGAAGTTCAACAGCAACATGCTGTGTAAATAAGTTAGAAAGGGATATTTACAAAGTTACATCTGAAAAGAAGAAACTTAACACTGTCATTCAGATGCAGAAGGCATCTCTCAATGAGCTACAGAGAGATTACTACAATTCTCAGGAGAGAGCCGAGCATTGAGCCTCTAAGAGAACATTTGATAATGAAATCTATAGTTACAACCAGAATGTAGATGAAGAAAGTACCGTAGTATTTAATTCTTCATGCAAGAATGAACGTAAAACTAGAAAGCCAATAAGAGATAAAGTGATGCATTCTTTGGACAACATTAGCTCGTTGAAAAAGTTTCAGACACGAGTCTCTCCATCTCCTTCAACAAGGACTTTGAATAAAATGCAAAGTAAGGAGCGAAACTCCTTCACAGACTCGATTGAAAGTAATCTAACTTTACAAAATAATATTGGCATTCACAATGTAGAGAGCCAAAAAGCTGTCAAAGAGAATACCATGAATATCTCTGAGACTGAGTTTTTCTATCCAGAGGAGACTCTCAGCATTGGTAAATACTTCTGTTCTAACCTTTAGGAGTGAAGAGCACCAGGAATCATGCTAAAAATTTATCTTGCACTTCGAATACTTTTCAGCAAATAATTTCTAAACCAAGTGAGTGTTTCATAAATTTTTCTTATAAAACAATAAAATCTTCGAATAAAAGTATTATATTGTCATTAATCTACCAAGAGACTGGAACTTTAAAGGAAAATATTTTTATAAAGTTTTAATAGAAAGCAGTGATGTGAATTCAAGAGCGAATCTCCATCTCAACTTCTCTTTAATCAGTGCTAATTATTCAGCATTCCCTCCACATATTTTACTAAAACTTCTCCCAGTTGCTTATCGTCACATATAGGTGGAAAAAGCCCAGAGGCAAGGACGACTACAAAGAAATCTAAATTTAGAATCCTGCAGAAAGACTGCAGTAGGAAAATCACTAGAGCCAAAGATATTCTCCTTTATTCCACAAGTCAGGCTTTGGGGTATAATAGCACGAGTGAAAAATCACCCAAGAAAGAAAGATCAGTCATCCAAGCACCCCCTAGGATGAAGGCTGTCAGCAATTTCAAGACAATGAGAGAGGGTCATTTGGCGAAATCTAGTAGCTCCAAGAAAAGCCTCTTAAGCTTCAAAATCAAAAGTAAGCAACCCCTTACCTCTCTTCTAACCTATAGAAATATCAAACAAGAAAACATCAAAATTACAACGTGTAAAATACACCGAGTTCAAGCTAAACCTTGGTCAATAAACCCCAAATCCTACCCTCACCAAAATGTTCAATACACATTTCCACTCAACCTTCTTCCTCCAAATTGGGGTTTTGGGGTTTTGGGGTTTTGGGG